AGACTCTTAACTAAAGAATCATTTCATAAACTAAAGAATCATCTAACATTTATAAGACTCTAAACTGAACTTAAGAATCAAATCTCAAGTAAATTAAATGAATTCCTTTCTATAAGACAATCATAATCCCAAAAATATTTTAGCATAAATTAGTAGTAAAAAATGACCATATAGAGGGGTAAAACATAGATCAAAACAAGAGGCGTGACTGTTTCATTTAAAATGCAAACGTTATTTACATAAAAAATGTTATGATAAGGAATAAATAATAAGCACATAATTAGAAAGCAATATTGCATGCATTGTTTGAAATTCAACGGAAGTTCAGGAAGTTTAATTTCTGTAAAGTGAAACTAATCAAATAATTTAGTTCTAAAATAAATTTATAATAGTGAAGCTGTTGCCTGGTTTTTTCTTGATTTAATGAGTTGAGCTAATTACGATTCAAGTTTATATGACAATTTGTTTCAAGGTTTTTTTATGCAGCTGTTTATGTTTCACTACTTCAAAAATTTGCGAAGTTCGGAAATCTTAAATTTTTTAGAAATAAGTCAGTATAGTATGCAATTTTAATCCTGAATTGAATAAAATCAATTGCAAATAAAAACATTTATTGTTGAAAGTAATACGCATTTTTTAGAATTTCATCCTATGGGATGTGTATTTATATTTCAACAAGTGTTTGTAAGAGCTAACTATTGGTTTTATTCTGCTCGGTATTATAAGTTATATAGAAGATATTATTCTTAACTTATTTTAAAAGTATTATTTCAAATCATTCTCTCTTAGACATTTTCTTCACATAAAAATTACTCACAATTTTAAAATAAATTCTCCTTATCAGCTTGTAATTTGTTCTATTCGATTGAAGTTTAAATTTATTAATCGATTTTTGATTCTTGATTACATTGATGAAAAAATATTAAAATAACTATTTTTTAAGAAACTCTGATGTGATTGACAATAACGTAAGTCCTTTTCAGAATCAATGTCAAAAATTTAAAAAAAGCTATTAGATTCATGAAGTCTGACAACACAAAATGTTTAAAAATATAGACTTGGTTTATTGAGTTTAAAGCTTTGTAAAAAAACAAAGAAAGAAAATTTAATCATCAAACTTACGAGTTAATGTTACCAGATGTATAGAAAAATAAAAAATGATAAAATTGCAAAATAAGATTGGAATTACGTATTTGAATTTCTGTAAATGTTGTTAATGGTAGTACTGTCTTCAGTGTATTTTATTTTTTGGCTGTCATACCTGTCATGCTTTTTAGCTACGAGGATTGAATTGAAATGGCAGAAGAGTAATGCTATTTATCTGAAAAAGAAAGTTAATTTCATCCAGTTAATTTAAATCATAAAAAAAAACTAATTCTAATATTTTAATATTTCAAAACCAGCCACTATTATTGTAAATATAACTTCCTTACTAATTCGTATTTTTTTTTCCTTTTAGGTTCCAATAATTACAAGTTTCAACATGTAGACGGAAACAGTATTTAAAATAATTTTGTTGGTTTGTAAAGGAAATGAAATTTTAGTTTTAAATAAAAGAAATTTGAATTTCAGCTGACTAATTATTTAAATTTGTAGTTTTATAGCTTTAAAAATTCAAGCACCTTATACAACTATCTACTAAAAATATGAGTATTAGTTCCCATAAATAATTTTTACTAACTGTAGAATTTGGATAAGTGTTATTTTAAGATGATTTAAATCAATCTATTAAAATTATAGAAGAATTATGCATTTGAAACTTTCTTTTATAGCTTAACAAAAGAAGCAATTACTGCCGAAGGTTTAATATTAAAAATTTCAGGTTGATAAATGATCTCTACTAGTGAAAAAAATGTAATGTACATTATTCTTCATATAATATATATAATATCTTTATATATATATTATATTTTTTATATAGTGAGTCTAAAAATTAATAAACTAGGTGGTCCGTATAACACCTCACCTTCGTAAGTGCTAAAAAAAACATCTTTGGTTGATAAATTAATACTTCTAAAAATACAAAAATATATACTTGAGGTTACGAAATAATAACTTAAGGTAGAACATGGAACACATGGCGCTAATTAAAAATAACCTTTCCAATTGTTGAAAATACACTTCAGGTTGATTTATAACAACCAGAAGTGTAAAATGGCCCACCTTAGGTTGAAAAATATATACCTCTACAAGCATAAAATTAGATACCTGAGGTTGAAAAATAATTACCTGAGGTCGAACAACATACACCTGAGGTTGATTTATAATAACCTGAAGTGTAAAATGACACACCTTAGGTTGTTGAAAAAATACTTCCACAAGTGTAAAAAAATATACTTCAGGCTGATAAGTAATAGCCTAAGGTTGAAAATGAAACACTTTAAAGTAGTAAATATCTACCTCTCCACAGATGTAAAATTAAACACCTCAGGTTGAAACATGTATACCTCTGGAGATATATTTAAGGTATATTTGAGGTTGATTTTGAGGTATTCATTTGCACTCTTTTCAACCTTAACGACGTATTTAAATAACAACCTCCTTTATACCTTTAAAATATACCTCGTTTATATCTCATTTATACCTCGATTTTTTCATAAGGGGTGTCTTAACGATCAGTCCACTGCGGGACTTCTGAATTTGAATATTCGCATATTGTACGATATAAAATAATGCATTATTCTATCAGGTCTTTGATGTCATCTGACTTGTTCCAAACATGGCTGAAGAATTTGAAACTCGATTCAAACATATTGTACAAATATTGAGATTTCCGATTCATAAATTGTAAACCGTAAATAATCTAAATACGAATGAAGTGGGTGTAACAGTGCAGTGATGGGAGTAACTTGGAAAAGTGAATAAAAAGAACGCATTTTTCGTTCCCAAATCAAAAACGGTGCAGTTATATTTAAAATAGTGGGGCTTGCTCCATTCTCTGGAGGAGAGTGCGCGCGGATGCTTACTGAAATCATATTATTTCCTTCTCTTTTTTTGTACGTTGTTTCTTAGATGTATCTTCTGGCTGCTTTTGGAAGTGGTTCACTTCGATTTTGTCGTTGTAGTTCATTTACGTTATTGCACTAGAGCTGCACAATGGGCTATTGGCGACGATCTGGGAAACGTCCCTGAGGATGATCCGAAGACATGCCATCACAATTTTGATTCTCTGCAGTGGGGATGGCACCCCCTCTTCGGTAGCCCGACGACCTGCACGCGAAGTCGAACACTTTACAGTTGAACAGTTTAAAGAGGACCAATACCGCACACCCTCGGTCCCTACGCAGACTGATCCGAGTGGCCCCCCCACCCGCACACTGACCGCAACCAGCGATGCTTGACTTCGGTGATCCGCCGAGAACCGTGTCTTAACGATCAGTCCACTGCGGGACGGTTTTCATTTACGTCGCACTAGAGCTGCGAAATGGGCTATTGGCAACGGTCTGGGAAACATTCCTGAGGATGATCCGAAGACACGCCATCACAATTTTGATCCTCTGTGGAGAGGATGGCACCCCGCTTCGGTAACCCGACGACCTGCACGCAAAGTCGAGCACTTTACGGTTGAACAGTTTAACGAGGAACAATACCGCACACCCTCCGTCCCTACGCAGACTGATCCAAGTGGTCCCCCACCCGCACACTGACAGCAGCCAGTGATGCTTGACATCGGTGATCTGCCGGGAACCGTGTCTTAACGATCAACCGTGTCTGCGGGACGGTTTACTTAGAAATAAAGAGGATTAATTCGATTCACTTAGATTTGAGGAGAAATATGAGTTACAAATGCGCAAAGAGTGCTGGTATGAGCGAGTCGTTACATAATGACACCTCGGCTAAAACTTATGTATCCAGCTTTAACAGAGCATACAATAAAAAAAATATAAAGCAATTCATTCTCTAGTCTAGTTTTATCGATTAATTGAAAATTCAGTGAGGGAAAATAGAATTCTAGAGCCTTTCTTGTTTTATTCAATTAATTTGAGTCCCACAGTGGATTGATAGGAAAGACTCGGTTCCCAAAAAAATGCCGAAGTCTGTCATCATTGACAGTGGTCAGTGAGGGCTGGGTAACCACTTTGACTACTAAGGGACCGAGGATGTGCGATATCGTCCTCGTTGAACTGTTCAATGGAAAAGTTCTCGACTTCGCTGGCAGGTCATCAGGCTATCAATGCAGGAGAGCGCCATATCCTCTGCAGATCTATAGAGGACCAAAATAGTATTTCCATGCCTTCAGATCATCTCCGTCAATAGGGTGTAAAGGAAGTGAACAAAGAATACTTATAAAGAAATGCAATTAATTTCGTTTAAGACAATAAGATGACTGTTTGTTTTTTTTGGTGCTGACGCACGATTCTAATATCTTCCTAATTTCACGAAACCACTATTGGAGATCGCAACACTCTAATACGCCATCTAGGGAGAGACAGGTTTCATGCCTTTAGCCTCTCTCCCTTCCCCCTCCTCCTCTTTTCAGTTGTATAGAAATGTACTACGATATTTTCTTTTTTCTTAATATTTTTCCTCTTTATTTAATAAAAATATTTTTTTAAATTTTCGCGATGCTTTCCTTTAAAACTATGTTTTATGTAGTTTTCCAACTTAAAAGATTTTAATCTATCGGAAAATCAAGAGAGAAACTAACGTACTTCCTTCCTCTATGACTTTCCACGCGCTAATGGGGAAAAACTTGTCAANAAAATATCGTAGTACATTCCTATACAACTGAAAAGAGGAGGAGAGGGAAGGGAGAAGGGCTAAAGGCATGAAACCGGTCTCTCCCCAGATGGCGTATTCGAGTGTTGCGATCGCGAATCTGAAAATCAAGAGAGAAACTAACGTAGTTCCTTCCTCTATGACTTTCCACGCGCTAATAAGGGGGAAAAACTTGTTAAGTGAAGTGTTGCCATAGGTAGAGAGTCCTGCTTTACGCCACCTGCAACCCATTTCAATCGCGAATCCCTGGAATTTTTCGAAACTGCCTATCGTTCGGGTCATTTACTCATAACGAGCATCTGAGCAAAAACAGTACAATATTCACCAAGGGCTTGAACTTTTTTCTCACAAATGACGCAGAATGCATCACATTTATTTAGCAGCACCAGTTTTTAACGAAATGTCCGAAAGCCAAATTAAAAGCGTTACCTATTTGAACTGTAAAGCAAGCAACTACAACTTTTACTACTAGGTTAGAAAAATAGGGAAGATAGAATTCTGTCAAACAAAATGTGTTTTGCGGTGCGAGTTGTGGGATTCGGAAATAGATGAATCTGCCCGTGGAGCCGTATTTCATTGTTTGAAATATACAAATTAAATGGATATTTCTAATAGTTTTACGCTATGATAATTAAAAGACTAGATCTGTTTCCTTCTTTGGGTATCAAAATTTTGGATATGCATGTATGTATTAAAAGCATGTGTTTCTATCATATTTAGCAATTGTAATTGTTCCAAGTTAAATAATTATATAATTCTACTTTATAAAAATGCTTTCTTTAAGTTCTGCATCTAATGAATATTTGATGTATCTAAACGAAAAAGTGTTCTCTTATATTTATGTGGGATTATTGATTAGATATAATTGAGTACATTATAAATCTTTCGATAATCAATGATTCGTCGATATTTACTGGATTTTTGTTAATGTTCCTAAATAGGAAAAAATCCGATGTTTCTGTATTTTTAAACTAATTCGTTTAAACTTAGTCTAATTTATATGTAATATTTGCTATAATGACTTTTATGTGTACTTATTCTCAAATTCTTTTTTTCCCGTTCTTATAAATATTAGTTTGAAATTAAATTAAATTAACTGTGTAATAAATGTATTTAGAATAAATGTCTTCAATTAAAAAATTTTAAGGAAATTTTTTTTCAACATTTATTACATGAATTAGCATGTTCAATCTAACTCCAAATCTGTTTCATAAGTTGTAAAAGAATTGGTAATTATATAGTTCCTTTGAAAGTATACTAAACATTATTATAGATTAATAAATGTAAAAAAACTTTACTATTTTTATGTGCATGTTTTATCTCAAAATTGTATGTCATTAATTTATGATGCAATGAGAAAAGATTTAATTGTTCATCAGTCATTTTTTTTTCTTTAGCAAAGTATGTGAATAATATTTTAATGTTAAATTGAAACGTTTAGTTCAAGATGTAACTAAGCATTGTATATCTGGAAGAAAAAAAATTAAGTAGGCGTAGAAATGCATTCTGAACATGATGCCCGTGGATGCTTTCTCCTACTGTCTTTGCTGATCAATCCGAAGCTAAATGGGCTTAATTTCACCACTGAATATCAAACACCAATCTTTCACAATGATTGCTCAGTGATTATATATTTGGGACACATGTTTTGTGTAAGGAATTACGGAGAGAGTTTATTCATATTGTTTCTTTCTTTACATCTTTAGTATCTCTTACATTCTATTCTTTCATTTAAAAAAAAGATTGCTGGTAACTATTTTAAAATTCCATTACTTAAAATAATATTGTGTATTTTATGCATGATAAAGATAAGTTTGCAGTTGAATATATATAAGGGTTTAATTAGGGATGGGGTGTATTGATTTTGCTGAATGGCGAATATTCTGCAATCGAATAGCAACATTTTTTTCTAAAAATCATTAATAAGTATTATGAATGATTTTTTATAAATTTATAAATAAGTATAAATAGTTTTATATATAAATAAATTGAGTCATTATTGAAAAATAATCAAAACTTAGCTACGTTATTGGTATGAGGTAAAGGAGAAAAAAAACATATATTTAAGATAATTAGAAATATTTAAGATAAGTAATAAACTAAGTAACCGCTATTTAAAAAAAAAAAAAAAAAATGCTAATGTGGGAAAGTTGAAAAGAAAAAAAAAGGCACATAGAATAAAAAAAAAACATATTCTCTCAATTCTTAAAACAAAAAATATTAAAAATAATTTAAAAAGTAATATTTAATAAAATATAACATAATATTAATAATCTCTATGCTAAAAATAATATTTTCTGAAAAAAATTATTCATAAAGCATTAAAAACGATATAGNAAATTATTATTCCTTATGATTGATTTAAATTTGTTTCAAGTATTTTGTAATAATATTTAATCAACAATTTAGATAAGTTGGTTCTTGCCGGTTTTTACCAGGTTTTTGCCACTGTCCTGGCAAAAAACCCTTTTTGCCGGCAAAAACTCCAACCCTGGTTTTATATATAAATAAATTGAGTCATTATTGAAAAATAAACAAAACTTAGCTACGTTATTGGTATGAGGTAAAGGAGAGAAAAAACATATATTTAAGATAATTAGATATTAAGATAATTAGAAATATTTAAGATAAGTAATAAACTAAGTAGCCGGTATTTAAAAAAAAAAAAAAAAATGCTAATGTGGTAAAGTTGAAAAGAAAAAAAAGGCACATAGAATAAAAAAAAACATATTCTCTCAATTCCTAAAACAAAAAATATTAAAAATAATTTAAAAAATAATATTTAATAAAAAATAACATAATATTAATAATCTCTATGCTAGAAATAATATTTTCTGAAAAAAATTATTCATAAAGCATTAAAAACGATATAGTCCATCAGAACTAACTTTTAAAAATGTAGTGCTATCATGAAATCTCCCATAAAAAAGATTATATACAAAAAGCAAAACAGAAGGAATAAAAATCTTAATTTTTGTAAAATTTTTTTATTGCTACACATGTATGTCTTCCATTTACCATATTTTCAAGAAAAATCGAGGAATGAAGTCTAATAGGAAAACCTTAATTGTTGCGTCATATTAAAAACCTTTATAAAATAGAAGTTTTTAAAATAGAAAATGCTAGATAGTAACCAAAACAAAAATCTCAATATTTAACTTTTTCATTTAGCTGTATTTTTGGGGGGGAAAAGTGGCCGTAAAAGAATTATTTTGATCAGAAACACTCTTTAAAAAGTTCTGTATCATATTGCTGATAAAAAGAAAGGTTAATCAAAAATGCAAAAAAATAACAGAAAAACACAATTCCCTTGGTTCTGAAATGTAACTTTAACATTGTTAATCACTCCTTTTCTAGGATACCTGTTATCTGTCTTTCTGTACATGAGAAAAGGGACAATAAAAGAATTAAGTCTGTAAGAAATGCTCTGTTAAAATGCTGCACTATAATTAGAAAAGAAAAACAGCAGAAATGAATCAAACAAAAAATTTTTTATCAATTCTTAAAAAAAATTTGTTGAAAAAATGACAAAATAAACTTGCTTGAATATAATTTAAAAAAAAATCAGCAGTAGTAAACTTGGGTTCAGTATAAGAGTTTTAATTCTCCAGGTTTTACCTTTTCCATTTGTCTTTTAGAACTTAAATTAACAAGTTTTAGAACTTAACAAATATGTGTAAAAACTATTTCTAATTATATATCATAAGAAATACGATTTTAGATTATTCTTTCTTAATTCTGTTTGATTACCCCCCAAGTGAAACTTTGTTGAAAAAATACTTTTTCAAAAAATGCGTTGCCTAACATTTCGCTGCTAATTCGATCGAATGTTTGACCAAATATTCGGCAAAAAAACCAAGTATTGAAATTGGGGACGAACATTTGTTACATACCTATTTTTATATTCTAATTTCTTTAAAAATTGTTAATGTTTAGTTTGAGGACTAATAGGGAGTAGGACCTTATTTTTCTTTTTCCGTCTGAAATGAGCTGCCTAGTGAATGTGGTAGTCTTCTCTTACTCTGGACTGCTTGTGCTAAAGGGGTTGATTGACTAATCAGACTGCGCTTTCTCCATCTTAGTGGTTCTGATTTAACTTCAATATGTAGTACTCAGCAGTTTCAAAGCCTGAAAAAGCACATGTGTAATTTTGGAGTATGATGTAGAGGCTAGATGATTACTGAAACTGTCAACCTTATGATCTACATTATGGTAGTGTAGTCTGAATATGCAACACTATTGTCTTCAAATCATCACGGAAGAGTTCTAGACAGTCTCTAAGAGCCTATTATATGGCTCTAATGTGACTTTACTACCTAAACCAATAGTAAAAGAATGCAAATTATTTAATTCTAAACTGACAAAACTATCTTTGAATTTTTATTTCTATTATCATATTTTTATTTCGTTCGTTTTCTCTGCCAGGGCTGATTGCGCTCCGGAAAAATTCCGGATTTTTCGCTAACAGTGATCCGGAAGTTTCCGGAGATCGAAGGTCCAGACGTTTCAAAAAATCATTGATCACAGAAGTTTCCGGAAATCAAATTTTCAAAGGTGGAACTTAAAAACACAGTTTATTTTATTTGTTTGTAAGGGAGAGCCAGAGAGATACTTTATAAGCTTATATTCATGATCAATATTCATTTTTTATCAGTACATAGTTGCTATAATCACAAACTCTAGAAAGAAAGACATATTTGTAAATTTTAATTACTTCTCCAGGTCATCATAGGTATGTGTAAATGGTACAGGTATGTGTAAAAATTTAAATGTATTTTAAATAAACTAAGAAATATTGAGAAAAAGGAAAAAAAACTTGTTTAAATTTTTTAATTTTTTTCTAATTTTTCAATTTAAACTGGTTTTTTTTTTTTTTTTTTTAAACTCAAGAAAATTTCCAGAATTCTGACTTGGGCTCACAATCACCCCTGCTCTGCCGAAACCAAATTATTTTTAATGTTTCCTTAAAAAAAAAAAAAAAAAAAAAAAAAAAAAAAAAANTTTTTAATGTTTCCTTAAAAAAAAAAAAAAGTGAAGCATAGTACAAATATTCTTTTATCATTTTAATTGATAAAGTGATATATAGTAAGAGCAATCATAAGAAAATTTTCTCTTTTAGCTTTTTTCTGAGTCAAATTTTACTGTTTTTTATGTTCTCTTTCAACTTAATAATTTAAGTAAAATCAATAAGGATAGACATATGTTATTTTAAATTAAAAAAACTTTTAAGAATTGCCTCTTTTATAAATCATTTTGCCTGTTACATTATTCTTACATCCATAGTCTTTTATCATTTCTAGTGTCCCTGGTTCTGGGACATAGCACTGTTATGTTTGCACACTTGAATACTTGAATTACTAATTGAAATACCCTAATTTAGGGTATTAAAAGTGTTTCATTTTTGTAGACGTGCACAATTCATGCAATCTATTTTTTAATTTTTTATTTAAAGCACAATGTTTATTTTTCGCTTATCTAGAATGTAATTTTTATTATCAGAACTCCTGTGATCTAAAATTACCTCTGTTAGCTGAGTTCTTTTTAATTGTTTTATTAATTTAATTTATTTTCAAATTTATTTCATTGTAAAATTTATTATTATTTTCTTAATTACACACAATAAATAAAAATTTTAGATTTTATGTATGTGACATAAAAAAATAATTCATAATGATTTTTTCATG